AAATATCATCACGATGCAAACAAAACACTGCCTAGATAAGTACTAGAATTTCGATTCTGGGTTTAAACTTCACATGACTAATTATGTATGAATAAGGGCTCGGCGCCTATAGCTCAACCGGCTAAGGCGCCAGCCACGTACACCTAAGGTGGCGGGTTTGAATCCCCAGCCCGGACCCGCCAAACAACAATGACGGCTGCAACCAAAAAATAGCCGGACGTTGTGGCCGGCGCCTGTGGTCCCAGCTACTTGGGAAGCGGAGGCAGGAGACTCGCTTGAGCCCAGGAGTTAGAGGTTGCTGTGAGCTGTAATGCCACGGCACTCTACCCAGGGGGACAGCTTGAGGCACTGTCTCCAAAAAAAAAAAAAAAAATTATGTATGAATAAGTAATCTGGATATTGTCTAACTGTAATTTATTTGTGGCCCAACTACCAGTCAGGGATTCTCACTCACAAGTGTTAGTACCCCAGCATCACTCTCATACAGAAGTCATTTGGACAATATGGCAGAACTAACAAGCCTTTCATCTCTTCCAGGGTTGAGGGTAAATACCAGATCCTCCCTCTCCAGACGCTCTTGTAACCACAGGTGATTGTGTGACACAACTATAGGCAAGAAGATATGTAGGGAAGTCTTCTGGGGTGTTTCTTGGAAAAATATTCTTTCCTTCAAAAAATAAAGACATACACAGCCATCAAGAACTTTTTAATTTTGATCCCTTCATTCCTGCCGTTTAAGGCAGCAGTTGGAGGACGTGATATTTGGAACGGCAGCAGTCATCTTGAGACTAAGGCAGTAAGCCGGAGGGGGAAAACCAAAATGCTGAGGATGGTGGAATGGAAAAGAAGGAAGGGGCATAGATTCTTGAGGATATTGTTGAGACATTGAACCAAGCTTGGGACTCTCCTCCAGACTTGTTGGCAATAATAAATATCCTCTGATTGAAACCTCTGCTCACTGGCTTTTCTCCTACATGTAAGTTTTACATTTTGCAAACAGTCTAACAAAGTCCTGAAGTTACTCTTGCAGCCCACATCCCAGTCCTCTCATTCAAATGCCTGGAGGCTGAGGCATGAAGGCTGAGAATGTGGACAATACTGTGTAGCTGTTTTGACACTAAGCCTAGAGTCAGAATTGTGGCATGACCCCTGTTGTAAAGAAAGGTAACAGGCAGAGTCCAAGGGGCTTCATTCATGAGGGGTTTTGTGAACCTTGTGGTTTATTTATTTTATTTTTATTTTTTTGGAGACAGAGTCTTACTTTGTCACCTTTGGTAGAGTGCCGTGGCATGACAGCTCATAGCAACCTTAAACTCTTAGGCTTAAGCAATTCTCTTGCCTCGGCCTCCCACATAGCTGGGACTATAGGTGCCCACTATATGCCTGGCTATTTTTAGAGACAGGAGTCTTGTTCTGGCTCAGACTGGTATCCAGCTCGTGAGCTCAGGCAATCCACCCACCTCGGCCTCCCAAGGCCTGGGGTTACAGGTGTGAGCTACTGTGCCCGGCTAGAATCTTGTGGTTTAGACACCTTTGTATTTGCTGCTTTATTAGCACCAACAAACAGAACCTTGGACAGAGGCTTGAGGGCAACAGGTGTCCCTGAGAGCGGCAGAGCAGAAGCACGCTTTTCCTGGGCACACATGTGTCACCTTCTGAGGACTCACAGGAAAAACAGTAATAAACTAGGAAGAGGGGCCTGAGGGCCTGTGCTGGCACGTGGGGGCTAACTGTCCTTTCACAGGTAATTGACCTACCTGCAACCATTTTTTCTCAAAGACTGTGAGGCTGATGACATTTGTGTCACACACTACACCCACGATAATTTTTATTCTGAGTAAGTTCCTGACAACATACAGTTTAATTTCTTCTGCCGACACAGCATGCTAAAAGCAGTGTCTCTTTCAACTAAAAATATTTTTCATTGTAGAGGGTAGAGATTATGCCAGCCACAGTTATGTGAATAAAGTAAGGACATATTCTAATGTACCCCTGAAGTGTGTCTCAATTTTGTGTTAGGCTGGCAGGCCGTCTTTGATTTGGTCAACATGCTTGCCTTATGCTGCCACCAGGCAGTGGTTTTCAAATGTATCCTCTGCCCCTCCCCAGTTGAAATCCAACATGGCATTATACATAAAATAGATCAAAGCAGAGCGGTCTGAGAAGGCAGGGCTGGGCCCAGAGCCCTCCCTATAAGTGTTGACCCACAAGGGCTTCTGTTCTAAATTTGAGAACATTTGGAGGATACTTCCATCTATTTTACTATTGTCTCTGATGATACAGTCTCAGCCAGCCTATTCATCTGTTAGGCTGGGTCAGATTTCACTGTGAAATGTCAAAAAGAGGGAGTTGTCCCAATCTCCACCCACCCTGAGTACACAGTAAGGATTTCTAAGGTGAAGTTCCCCCTTGTGGGATGGAGATGGGAATCTGCACCTTCAATTTCTTTATGGAACAATAACTTTAAAGCAGTAAAATTTCCAGACACACAGGTGGGAGGTGAAAGGAGTCTGCCTAGCATTATAGTTCTTTGTATACTGACCACATCATTCCTTCGGGACGGAGAATTTCTTGAGAGCAGGGACCACTTCTTACTCAACTTTGTATTCTTTGCCATTTCTAGCCTAGAGCAGGTGTTCTGAGAAGTTTTCTGAAATTGAATTGGAAAAAGAAGAGTAGAGGACATTGTGGGATTGAATTATACTCCAACACACCTGCTTTGATTTTTGACCAATTTTAAAACATTAAGTTCTTTTTTGCTTGGACACGATTTCGGAATCAAATCTAAACTTTTTTTTTGTGGTTGGTTTATCTTTTATTGTGGTAAAAAACACATAACAGAAAATTGATCATCTGAACTACTTTTAAGTATACAGGTCAGTAGTGTTAAGTATAGTCATATTGTTGTGAAAAAGATCTCCAGAACTTTTTTATTAAGCAAAACTGAAACTCTGTACCTGTTGAATACTTTCTTCCCTCAGTCCCTCTGTCCCAGCCTCTGGTAACCACCATGTTACTATTTCTATGAATTTGACTTTAGACATACCTCAGATAAGTGAAATCTTTTTTTTTTTTTTT